TGGAGTATTTTAATTTTAGCCTTTCTCTTATTTCTATATTTCAAGAAAAAGAAAAAGGAAATTGTTAGTCACATACAAAATGTAAACTCAGCAGTCTCCTACAGTCACTAGAAGAAAAAGCAAAGAGAATTCAAGATAATATAAATGTGAAACTTGAAGTATAACTAAGTTTTAAGGTAAAGTAACAATAGGCTTACAAATATTAGCTTTAAATTAGATTAGCAGTCGACCCAACATAGTTAACTCTATGCTAGACAGAGCTGACTTTAGCTTGTACCTGTTACTCATACTGGTAAGGAAGATATTGGGCGAAGGCAACAGGATACTGCACTATACCGCCAACAGTGGTGCTATGAAAAGCTGATAAGCTAATAATCTGTAATGGAATTATGCTGTACCAGAGGTCACTTTTTTAAATTGGTGTTACAAATAGTGCCAGTAACTAGTTAACTAACCCCATTAATGTCATTAACCCCATTTAATTAGAGTCTAGCTTAATTTCATTCTTTCACAGGAAAACAAAACAACAACAAAAAACAACCAAAAAAATCCTCATATAAGAATGAAAGACTTAGCCTTTTCTCCACATTAAATCATAGGTGAATTTTTATATTTTAAACAATTCATAACCATTGACATTAAGCAAAAGCATTATACAGAGAAAGAGAGAGAGAATTTGGTGATATTTAGCACAAGCTCCTAGATGTCCATAGTTGCAAAGAGTTCTAAGGAGATCTGCTGACACAGTGACAAAGCTCTTCATTGGAAAAATTACCTTTTATATTAGTAAAAATGGGCAGAGATGGTGATTTCTCCTTATTTCCTAGAAAACAAATAAAAAATAACTGGGTTAGACTCTTCTTTATCATAGGTTCTTTTTCAAAGAGAATTAAAGTATGACTTCTTAAAAGATTTGTGGGGGAAATACAAGATTATAAATAGAGATGGCATCATCAAAGCAAATTTTAATTGAATTACTATGCTAATGAGACTTGGTAAGTCAAAGAGCATAAATACTGTAGTTTATGAGTCTTCATCTTTGGAATTGTCAATTTGCTTTTGATCTGTTGTTGTTTTCAAGATCGGGCTCACTGTAGCTCTGGCTGTCCTGGAACAAACAATGTAGACCAGGCTAGCCCAGAACTCACAGAGATCTGTCTGTCTCTGCCTCTCAAGTACTGGGATTAAAGGTGTATACCACTGTGCCCAGCTTGCCTTTTTCTTTATCTTTATGATCATGGAATATATTTGACTGAACAAATAGTACAAAATTTAAATATATATTACATATATTTTCACTTAGGTTGACTCTGTGATGTAAACATCTGTATTGCAGGACCAGGAGGTTGGCATAAAGATGTTACATTAAATTTCAGCTGAGATTCCTTATCACTCTAATCTGTAAAGCTCTGCAGGTAGCATAAATATGAGAAACATAAATTATGTATTTGGTGTCATCTTAACAAGGATTAAAAACAGAATTGTCTTTAAAACCCATAGATAAAAATGTTTCCTTGAAAATAGCTTAAAATTAACTTTTTTGGTAGTTTTTTATTTAATAAACCACTTTTCTTATCTCTCCTCCATATATATATATATATATATATTATACATTATGTATTACATATACATATATATGCATATTGTATGTGTGAGAGAGAGACGAATGCCATGGCACTCGTGTTGAAGTCATAGACCAACTTTTAGAAGTCAGTTCTTCTACCTTTACATATATCTATATCTATATCTATATCTATATATATATATATATATATATAATTTTTTTTTTTGAAAGTGTAGATCTGGCTCCTGCTAACTAAAATTAGAAACTAGGAACCAGAAAGCTAATTTAGAGTTTGCTGATTGAGTTTTACTAAAATGTAAATCACAATGCCTCTCTTAGTTTAATTCCCTTTTTCTGTAATCATAATATATGACTGTTGATGGGATATTAGTAATTAGAGTCTTATGGCAGAGCTTATTAATAATAGTGCCAAGATCAAATCTGTCTCTGTATTTTAAGTATTTTGGACTTGTAGTAAGAAAGTGCAACCAGAATAGTTACAACTTATTTGTTAAAATGAAAACTGTCATGCCAATATAGCAAGTTTCTTCAGTAACAGTAGTCATACTGACTGACCTATAACATCAGGGACTCAGATGCTTGCTAAATATATATGATATATATATAAGATATATTTTGAGATATAATAAGATAATTTTGAGAAGTGGCTTACATAGTTAAGGAAAAAGATTCTCACCAAAAAAAAAAATAATAATAATAATAAATAAAAAGGAGTGAATCTTATGAAATTTGGAACATGTTATTTATGGTTTGGAGAAGATTCATGGATGGGAATCATTGTATTGTTTCTGAGTTACAGAAATATAGGAAATCCTAAAATGCAATTAATTGTGTGGTAACCACATATAATAATTATGTACTGTGTTTCTCAGAAAACCAGAAGAATCTTCTTTGTTTTAAGTCATATTTACATTAAAATTTTTTTAGTATTTAATTTTTTTATTACAATTTATTCGCTTTGTATCCCAGCTGTAGCCCTCTCCCTAGTCCCCTCCCAATCCCATCCTCCCTCCCTCTTCTCCTTCTACGCCCCTCCCCCAGTCCACTGATAGGGGAGGTCCTCCTCCCCTTCCATCTGACCCTAGTCTATCAGGTCTCCTCAGGACTGGCTGCATTGTCTTCTTCTGTGGCCTTAAAAATGTTTTTAGCATAAAGAGATTAATGCTTGAGGTGATACTTATATTTAACCTGATTATGTGTATGTCACATACTATCCCATTACTAAGTATAAATTTTATTTACTTGTTTATTTTTAAACTTTGTTTTTTAACTTATTTTTAACTTTTACTTTATGAATTTCACATCATGTGCCCCAATTCCACTCATCTTCCTCACCCCTCATACCTCTCCTCTGCCCTTGTGACCTCCTCCCAACAAAGAAGGAAAAACCTTGTGGAAGCTGTAGCATGTCACAGTGTGTCCCACTGTGTACTGTTGTCTGCACTTCTTCCTTGCAGATGTCCATTGTTATGACTTGTTGGTCTGGTAAGAGGCCTCTGTCTTCTACTATTCTGTCAATACTGGGACCTCATTGGGACTCTTTTCTCCGGATCCTATTGTTGCCTTGTGTCATGGAGATCTTTAGTTTTGGATTTGTAGGACCAGCCCCTTCATGTCTTCCAGCAGTTCATTGATGGGGTAAATATTGGGGTGGGCCAATCCAAAGTCCTGGGTCTGTGCCTAAGAGGTATCTGAGCTAGTCAGCCCACTGGGTCTCCAGCTCTCATGCCCTCAGGGCTGCTGAGGGCAGCCTCTGCACCTCCTGCTACTAGGGCCAGCTCTACCCTGCTTCCTTGGTGAGATGCAGGGCCTGCTCTCCCAAGGGTTACAGACGGTGAGGGACATGGTCAGTTCTCCCACTCTCATGACCCTGGGGCCAGCTCTCCTGCCTGCCATAGGTGACAAGGGATGAGGGAGGAGAGGAGGGCAAGTTCTCCATACTCAAGCTTTTGGGGCCGGCTCAGCTGTATCAGGGTCACCCACACCACCCACGTCAAGGTCAGACCTAATATGCTGCCCAGGTGAGGTGCAGGGCTCACTTTCTCCTGTACTGTAGCAACTGAGGGCACAGGATCAGCTCTTCTGTTTGCATGGCTCCATCTGGGCTAACTCTCCCACCTGCCACCAGTGGCCAGGGCAAAAGGGAGGGGAGGGGATCTCTTCCTCACTGACACCAACACATAGCAGACAAGAAGCAGGGTGGGCTCTCACACTCATGCCCTGGGTGCCTACTCACCTGAAACCCCTACATCCAGGGCCAGCTCTACTGTACTGTCCAGGTGAGGGGCAGGGCCAACTCTCCCACTCTCATGACCTCAGGGCTAGCTATCCTGCTTGCATAGGATAGGAAAAGGGTGAGGGGTGGCGGGGGAGGGGGGCGCTCAGCTCTCCTTTGCCCATGTCATGATTCAGCAGATAAGTAGTGGGCCAGCTCTCCCATGTTCATGTCCCTGGGGCTGGCTCCCCCACACTCCTCCTACAAGGGTCAGCTCTACTGTGCTGTGTAAGCAAGGTGCAGGGCCCACTCTTCTGAGTGATGCAGCTGTTGAGGGGCTGGGCCATCTCACCTGCTTGCATGACCTTACGGCCAGGTCTCCTGCCTGCAAGTGGTAAGCGGAGAGGAGAGTATCTCTTTCTTGTCCATGCCACTGCAAGGGAGACGATTCTGCCACACTAGTATCTTTGGGAGCCAGCTCACCTGCAACTCTCACAGTGTGCAGGGTGGCTCTCCCTAGTACTGCAGCTCTCATGCCCTGAAGGCCAGCTCTCCCATGATGCCCAGGTGAGGGGTGGGGCCAGTTCTGCACACCCCTTAGACATTAACATGATCCTGGGCAGCAGCCTACACCAGACATCTGCCTGGCCTTTGGTGATAACGGACCTCTACTGCTTCAGGGCTACAAATGCAGCCATGACCCCTCAGTGGCAGCATAGGCTAGGACCCCACCATGGTCACAGATGGCATCACCAACTAGTCTCATCTGGCTTCAGTGCTGCCTCTCTTTGTTTTACCCTCATCCTTCTGTTTCTCTTTCTCTCTTTATTTTTCCATCACTTACTTATTCCTCTTAGAGGTGCTTGGGGTCTGTGAGTGTCTAGGGTTGTCTCAGGATTGCTATGCCCTTTTTTGGGCCTTATGGTGCTATGCAGGGGTCATCTTGGCCATGGTCTGCCTGCCCCAAGGCCTGTGTGGTACCAGTCCAGTCTTCTCCAACTCACTCCTCTCCCAGGGCCCTCAGTTTCAGGTGGTACTCTTCTAGTGTCTGGCTTGCTCCTGGCCCGCACTGGTGCTTGTCTTAGACTAACTCTCTGTCCAAGGGCCCTGGTGCCTGGCTGGTGGTTGTCTCAGGCTAGCTCCCTGTCTGGGCCTCCTGGCACCTAACTGGTGGTTATCTCAGGCTCACTTTCTTCAGAGAATATTAGGCTACTAATCATTCGTATGTTCATAGGTCAGAACACTCAGCATAGACATAGCCTTTCCTCCCTGCCACCTACTGACACACATGGGACACACAGCAGCCGTACCTGGAAGGCTTCAAGGGGCAGATTAAATTTTATTTTTAATGTGCGAAAAAACTTGGTGTTTAATTCTTACCTTAAAAAAAAAAAAAAAAACTAGAAAGCTCATTAGAATTTTGAGCTTCTTAGGCTCTTTCTTAGGAATATCAGTTATTTTAATTTTTTTTAGATTTATTTTCTTTTATATGTATGAATGTTTTGGTCTGTGTATCAGGCCTGGTGCTTGTGGAAGTCAGAAGAGGGCATCAACCCCTGGAACTTGAGGTTGTGAGCCACCATGTGGGTGTTGGGAACCAAACCCTAGACTTCTACAGGAGTAAGTGTTTTGTTTCATTTTTAATTAATTTATTTGTTTTGTTTTTTTTGAGTCAGAGTTTCTCTCTGTAGCCTTGGCTGTCCTGAACTCACTTTGTAGACCATACTGGCCTCAAACTCACAGAGATTCACCTGTCTCTGCTACTTACGCCCAGGTTGGAATAAGTCTTCTTAACCAGAGAACCATCTCTCCAGCTCCAGAATATCAGTTATTTTTCAAAAACACTATCTGAGGAATGATCCTGTCTATGTGGTTTCACATTATAGAATATAAGATAGGACAGTAAAACAGCCAAAATCATTGGGATTTATCCACATTCAGAAGGGCAAACCAATAGACAGGGATTTATTAACTATTTATAAAAGCATAAAATATTTCTACCTACTTCCAGAAATACTACATACATGAAATTAAAAGTATCAAAATAATTAAAGTAGGTATGCACATAAACAGTGATTTAAATAATCAGTGATACTAATCAAAGCACTACCATTGTTAGTCCCTTGTACCTGGTATAGAGAGATCCTGCAGATATGCTTATATTTTTACATTTGCCAACATTAGTCACTTATAATCAGTTACTTTGGGAAAAATATGAATAGCTGAGTAGGCATTAATTAGATAAGCATGATAATACTGTAATATGAATCCATTTGTTATCTTTCATGTGGTTCTAGCACTTTGTCTTAATTCATTTTATTAAGACTTATAAATGACACATGGTAGGTTTTAGAATCTAAATAATACAGAAATAAAGACATCAAGTTCTTTGCTAGCCACATAGATTTAAAATATAATATTTATATCAAAGAATAAAACATTAAATCAAAGAAAAAAAATGTAATGTTTTATTCTTTGATAATTTATTATGGGTTATAATCATACCCACCCTCTGCTTCCATCCTCTACTCCTGGCAGAGCTGTTGGAACTTGGGCAACTTACCAATGGTCAGATACCCAAAGAATAATGTCTCTCCTTTCCATCAGTTGTCAATAGCAAAGCCAGGAGTGGGGCCTTGTGAGTCCCTCACCAATGCTGGAATTTTGACTAGCTTGAACTTGGGTAGGGCAGGTAACTACAGTTGATTTGAGTTCATGAGTGCATTAGCCAAGTCATAGCCATCTTCTGACTTTTACATTTTTTTCCATCTTCACTTCTGTAATATTCTATGTGTCTTGAGTGGGTTGACTTAGATGTTCCATGTAGAATACTCAGAGGATTCAGTCAATTATTTTCAGTCACTTATGACCAGTTATGAGTCACTGCATTAACTGTTAGCCCTGTGAAAAATGGTTTCTCTGACAAAGGTTGAGAACAGCAAAGTTCTATGGGCATGAACATAAATACTTGAAAGGCTGTTTGACAGTATGATCATTTAGCAAAACAACAATTTTTTGTTGTTTTGTTGATTTTCCTGTAGGGCCAACGAACTCCCCTGCCATGGGCTTTTGATCAAGTTTACAGAACCAGGCATCAATTTCTTCCTGTGGAGCAGACCTCAATCCAGTCAGAAAGCAGTAGGTTATTTCTTTAACTGTGGTGCCACTCTTAACACCAGTGTGTAGTTCTCACTAGCTCAATTGAGCGATGCTAGTTACATATTTTCTCCTTTGGTAGCCTGCATAGTAGCACAGGTGCATAGCCAGCAGAGAGGAAGTTTCCATTAGTTCCAGCTTGATTTCTCTGTATACTGCAACAAAAGTATGTGATAGCTTCAGCAACTGTGTCTTATCTAGTTGTCAGCCACATTCTTAATAGTGGTAAGTGAATTGTCTTAAGGTCTTTGTAAATCTCTAAATTCATGCATATCACTATTTTCTTACTCTTCTTTTCCTGCATGTAGTGTGTATTTCCTTCCAACAACCTGTTGAGATCATCTCTACCAATGACGTTTTTTTCAAATTAAATTTTATTTTATCCTATGTGAATGAGTGTTTTGCTTAAATATGTGTTTGTGCACCACATGAATGTCTCATGCCCAAGGAGGCCGTAGGTAGGCATCAGATTCTTGGGAACTAGTTTTACGGAGGGTTGCGAATTACCACGGAAGGGCTGGGAATAGAACCTGTGTCATCTGGATGAATAACCACTGCTCTTAAGCACTGAGCCATCTCTTCAGCCACACAAGTAACTTTTTTTAAAAAAAAAACATCACTTTTGGTGTGTGTGTAGGAAGAACTCAAAGGGGTGTCAGATTCCCTGGAACTAGAGTTACAGTTGTGAGCTGCCTGATGTGGTGCTAGGAATAGAACTCAAATCCTTTGCAAGAACAACTGAGCCATGTCTCTGCCGCCCCCCCCCCCCCCCGCAGAGATGACTTTAAGGCTTATCATTTTCTTAAAGAAACAGTTTTCATCATTTGCGTGATGATACTATAATCAGATGCCATTACCAACTAACTAGATTTACTGCAAAACTTCCAAACACCTGCATAACATTCCCTTCAGGTTGATAAATCACCAAAATTTTTAGAAACTGTCATAGATTTGAGGTCTTTGTTTTTCTTTCCAGATTGTTGAAAACACGTGGTAACTATGAGCCAGCAGCCTAAAGTAGTGATCTTTAGTCCGAGAACATTTGGTAGTCTTGAGTCTGTTTCTTCAAGTTCAAATCTGTTTTCATAATGATACTAAAAGTTATTAACCTTCTTCCTGTGTTGGCAAAAGCAGAGATAATTAAACCTGCTGGCTCTTTTGCCCAAATCAAGACAGTTGCATCAGATCTTACTAGAAATAATCATTATGCTCATTATTTCTCTACATAGTTCCTCCCCCACCTCCCAAAAAAGACCTGTTCTTGATGAAGCTTTTTTATTTCTTATTTAAAAGCCGGTTGTGGTGCTAGACTTTTGAAATCCTAAAACTCAAGAATACCAAGGCAGGAGTATTCAAGGCCAGCCTCAATTATATATTTTCCAGGCCAGCCTGGTCTACATGTGACCCTGTCTAAAAACAACAAAGAAGAAACTTATTAAATCTCAATACTTCATTGCACTTTTAAAATATTCTGTAAGCGGAAATGGAAGTATGAAGTATAGTTCAGTAAACCAGTATTTTCATGTAAATATATAAAGTTATGCATGAATATGTTAATCCCTACTCAGAAGGTTTCTGGGAAAGTTGAAAAAAAAAAAAAAGACTTGGAATATTAAGGAAGACAAGGAGGTAGTTTACTTTGAACATTTACATTTGCCACCAGCCGTTCAAATATTGATTCTGCAAGGATCTGCAGTTGGAGTTCTGTTCATCTGTTTCAGCAGGTAAAAGAGTATATGCTCTTTTAGAGTAGGGAAGTCCAGAAGATAATTCAGAGTTCTTATCGTATGCATCTTGAGCTGTTGTGTACAACTGAATCTCCTGTTTTCCTTACCTGCTACAAAGCTAACCAGTTTACTTCTCCATGTAGCTGCTAGAACCTTACCTTCCTAGGGGCCTCCTTGAAAAGCTTTATCTTGTTTTTCGTTGGGATCTTTCCTTTCATTTTCACAAGTGAAAAATCTAAAGTGTAAAGTTTCAAATTTCATATCATAACTTAAACACCATATCCTGAAAAGAATAAGATTCATGGGCATCTTATTCCTTTTTCAAAGAATTGGCATCAGTTTATCCTCCTGTTAAAGAAGAAAGTTTTTAAAATATTTTTTTGATGTGTAAGCACATGGGCTTATGGATACCAGAAGCCAGCTATCTTCCTTTACTTGCTCCCAGAGTCTCCTGTTGAACCTGGACATTAGCTGTCCACTTTGACAAGAGTGGCCGGCAGGCAAGAATCGTGGCTCTGCCTCCCCAGCACCTGGCTTTGGATCTGTATTCTAGGATATCAGACTCAGATCCTTGTGCTTATACAGCCCTTTACTCAGTGATCCGTCTCTCAGGCCTGAGAAATAACTTTGCTTCAGCCTTCAAAGATGCTTAATGAGGAGTGGACACCTGTGAGAGATAGGCTAATGAGTGAAACAGAAGATGCCAGGGGGATGAGTGAGTCTGCTCTAAGGCTCTGAATTCCATCTTGTCTAGCATTATCAGCAAAGACTTTTTTTTACAGACATGAACGGACAAAATAGGACTTTGAGCCTAAAGGGTCAACAAATTGAGGCAGATAAATACCAGACTAGGCCAGTCAGTGAAGTTTGATTCCTCTTCTACCACCATAGAGTTGATGGAAATCTGAGATTGTGTTCAGTGGTTATTCTTTGTTTGCTCTGGCATTGCTGGGATGTTGAACATCATCTGCATGGGAGCTCAATGTTGCTAGTAGAACCCGTAAATGGTGTAGATGCCGACATCCATTGCTAGAAGAGATCCACATAATCTCTGGCATCTCTTTGCCAGCTTCGATTCTGAGTGTTGTAACTGGTTTTTGTTGTTACTGTTTTGTTTTGTATTTCAAGACAGTGTCCTATGGCCCTGGCTGTCCTTGAACTTGTGATCTTCTGTGTCTGCTTCTCCAGTACTAGAATTTAGACACCTGGCATTATCATTAGCAGTTTACAAGGTATATTTTTACTGTGACAATAAGGTTATCAATAGATTCTTTAAGTTTATTATGCTAGACTTTTATGCACTTGAAAGCCTTATCAAAACCATTTTATCATCACTCTTTATTTCTACCATTTCTTTCATGTTTCCCAACATGGGGGTGTCTGTTCTAGGAGCTCACCATTGTTAATCTTAGTTATTATTTCTTTAACCTGTCAGTGTTGATATAGTTA